AACCTCCTGACTGGAGGTTGGCAAACATGACGCTGATCTACAAGAAAGGTAAGAGGGAAGACCCAGAGAACTATAGGCCTGTCAGTCTGACCTCAGTGCCAGGTAAACTCGTGGAACAGATCATCCTTAGTGTTATCATGCATATGTACAAGACAGTCAGATGATGAGGCCCAGTCAACATGGATTTATGAAGGGCAGGTCTTGTTTGACCAACCTGATCTCCTTCTATGATAAAATGACCTGTTTAGTGGATGAGGGAAGAATAGTGGATGTTGTTTACCTCGGTTTTAGCAAAGCCTTTGACACTGTTTCCCGTAACATTCTTCTGCAGAAGCTGTCTGCCTATGGCTTGGACAGGTATATGCTTCGCTGGATCAAAAACTGGCTGGATGGCCGGGCCCAGAGAGTGGAGGTGAATGGAGTTAAATCCAGCTGGCGGCCGGTCACCAGTGGTGTTCCGCAGGGCTCAGTGTTGGGGCCTGTTCTCTTTAACATCTTTATCAATGATCTCGATGAGGGGATCGAGTGCACCCTCAGCAAGTTTGCAGATGACACTAAATTGGGAGGTAGTGTTGATCCACCTGAGGGTCAGGAGGCTCTACAGAGGGACCTGGACAGACTGGATCGATGGGCCGAGGCCAACTGTATGAAATTCAACAAGACCAAGTGCCGGGTCCTGCATTTGGGCCACAACAACCCCCGGCAGCGTTACAGGCTTAGGGAAGTGTGGCTGGAAAGCTGCACAGCAGAGAAGGACCTGGGGGCGCTGGTTGACAACCGATTGAACATGAGCCAGCAGTGTGCCCAAGCAGCTGAGAAAGACAACAGAATCCTGGCATGAGGAGCAGGGAAGTGATTGTCCCCCTGTACTCAGCACTGGTGAGGCCACACCTGGAGTACTGTGTCCAGTTTAGGGCCCCTCACTTCAAGAAGGACGTTGAGGTGCTGGAGCGGGTTCAGAGAAGGGCACCAAAACTAGTGAAGGGTTTAGAGAACTTGTCCTATGAGGAGCAGCTGAGGGAGCTGGGACTTAGTCTGGAGAAGAGGAGGCTCAGGGGGGACCTTATCGCTCTCTACAATTACCTGAAAGGAAGTTGTAGGGAGATGGGGGTTGGTCTCTTCTCCCACGTTATGAATGACAGGACGAGACGGAATGGCCTCAAGTTGCACCAGGGGAAATTTAGGTTAGATATCAGGAAAAATTTCTTTACAGAGAGGGTTGTGAAGTATTGGAACAGGCTGCCCAGGGAGGTGGTGGAGTCCTCATCCCTGGAGTTGTTTAAAAAATGCGTAGATTTGGTGTTGAGCAACATGGTTTAGGGACCTTGACAATGAGGGGTGAATGGTTGGACTCGATGATCTTGAAGGTCTCTTCCAACCAGATGATTCTATGATTCTATGATTCTATGATTCTGTTCTTTGTGCCTGAGATAGATGTAGTTGTTATACCCATATGTGTTTTGCTCAATAGCTTTTTATGATCACTCACCATTGTAGCTGGTTCTTTTAAAGACTAAGCCACAGTCCTTATTGCATAAAATGGGAATTTTAAATTAATCTTTAATATTGCTAGAACGAGTAAACAAAATGCATTTCCAGGGAAATGGATGATCAAGAGAGATCTGTACTGGCCTAATCCTATAAGAACTGGTATCTGTAAGTAGAATCATAGAATCATAGAATGGTTAGGGTTGGAAGGGACCTTAAAGATCATCTAGTTCCAACCCTCCTGCCATGGGCAGAGAAATCCTCCACTACACCAGGTTGCCCAAAGCCTCATTTAATCTGGTCTTGAACACTTCCAGGGATGGGGCATCCACAACTTCTCTGGGCAACCTGTTCCACTGCCTCACCACCCTCAATGTAAAAAATTTCTTCCTTATATCTAATTGAAATCTTCCCTCTTTCAGTTTAAATCCATTGCCCCTTGTCCTATCACTACACGCCCTTGTAAAAAGTCCCTCTTCAGCTTTCCTGTAGGCCCCCTTTAGGTACTGGAAGGCTGCTATAAGATCACCCCGGAGCCTTCTCTTCTGCAGGCTGAACAGCCCCAACTCTCTCAGCCTGTCTTCATAGCAGAGGTGCTCCAGCCCTCGGATCATCTTCGTTGCCCTCCTCTGGACTCGCTCCAGTAGCTCCATGTCCTTCTTATGTTGGGGACTCCAGAACTGAACACAGTATTCCAGGTGGGGTCTCATGAGAGCTGAGTAGAGGGGCAGAATCACTTCTCTAGTCCTGCTGGCCACACTTCTTTTGATACAGCCCAGGATACGATTTGCTTTCTGGGCTGCCAGCACACATTGCCGGCTCATGTTGAGCTTCTCATCCACCAGCACTCCCAAGTCCTTATGAAAACTCTAAGCATATTGCACATATGGAAATATGGATGTTCATGACATGGAGACAAATGTACATGCTGTACTCAGCACTTAGTGAATGTTATGAGGAGAAAGGAGGAGAGATAAAACAGCTACAGAACAGAAAAGTGGATTTGTCTCTCATATTTTTGAATTCCCCAGCATTAATTCAGAGTTTTCTAGATACAAGGAAAATGCATTGCCACAGTCAATGGTGATCATGTAAAGATGATTTCTAAGAGGAGCATAAGCTATTCCACTGAAAAAAATTATAATCGGAGGAGGAAATTTATATGAATTGTTTTAATGAGCAGGAAGTTAGAAAAAAAATTCCTGATAGGTTGCTTCTGAAGGGTTTCTTGCATCTATGAGTGTAATACTAATCACTGACAGAGCTGGGATTCATAAGATAAATCGGCTGCCATGCACAGGAAAGCACAATCAGAAATGCTTCTGTACTAGACTGAAAATCTGGAAAGCCAAGATTGGGGAGAAATCTCACAGACTCTGCTCTGTTGATACAACATTTAACTACGCTAAAAAAAATATAAATGTCTGTTTAAGGCACGTGGTGATACCTCTTAATTAAAGTTTGGCTTTAAGAGCAGAGTATTCTCCCCCACCCCTTTCTTTTATTCATCAGTTAAGTAAAGTAGGTATCTTACTCAAGCGCCCCTCCAGATCTTTCCCTCTATGGCAGATAGACAAACTTAACATGATGTGATAGATACAAATTGAAAAAATCTTATTGTAAGATAAGACAGAATAAATCAGCCCTCACTTAAATTTTGTTGCATTTAGAATATGAGAGTAGTGGTGGTTACATATTGAGAAGCAAATTATAGAAAAAACAGATAGCAGAAATGTTCTAGCTCAGAGGCACAGGATTTTGGATGTTGGTTCATTTTTCAGAGTTAAGACTGAGATGTTTCATATTTAAAGGAGGATTTAAATTTAGTTTTATATAGCTAAATCCGGATAGAAACCTGTTCCCTAGAACAGCTTCGTGCTGATAAGTACCTTTGGTTCCCACTTTTTTTCCTTCTGTTCAGCAGTGCTTGGCTGCTTCAAGAGGAGGGTTGTAGCCTAGTCATACTATGGCCTACAGCCTGGCAATGAAGTCAGAAGCTCTGAATACAAGCCCCTCAAGCCTGAGAAGACATCAGGACCTAAAATTGGCAACTCCTGCCACTAGATTATTTTGCAACAGAGGGCAAGAAAAGAATGGGGATTGACATCAATAAACAGCTTCCTAATGACCCTTCTGGTCCATTAGAAGCCCTTTCACAAAAAAGGGCATAATTGCTGGATAAAAAATGGATGCTGGTATCCTTCCACTTCCTATTGGCCCCTATGTATTCAGAGAGTTATATACTAGTTTGAGACAGGTGAACAGGACCGTCCTTTTGAAGTTTTTCTATTAGCTGTACAGAAAATTTGCACACTAGTTATAGGAAGACTGGATATTCTCTCCTTCTCCTTTCTTTTGCTGTTAACATTTAGGTGTCTAAAATACAGCTGTGTCCAGGCTCAACCAAGGAAGCTAAGACTGCACAGAAAATCCTGTATCTTCATGTATACTATATCTTCTAGCCCATTTTGGCATGTACTAAAGAGGTCTCCAGTGTTTTGAAATCGTCTAACTGAACAAGCCACGTGATATTTCACTTCTGTCATGGTTCTAGTCAGTACGGAGGATTTCAGTTGAAATATTGGGATGTATCTGCACTAACTAGCTTTAGGCATCCAACTTTCACACTTTGAATTATTCTCTGGAAGTAAAGATTCTCTTTCTCCAATGATAACATCAGAAATTCAGACTCCTAAAAAAAGGTGCTGTGAACTGCAATCTTTCTAAAGACCTGAAGAAGGATCAAAAACACAGACAGGATAACTCCGGAGCAAGTCTGATATTCATTCTTAGGCAATGGGCCAAGCATAGTCTTTGGATTTTTTGGGGAGAAAATATTTGATAAATTTAAATGCTGTTTGTGTTGGTTTTGGAGAGAATATCCTTAAAGTGAAGTTATTCCCTTTCTTTGAAATGGCCTCTTTAAGTCAGGCTGCATACTACAGTGACTGATTTAGACATTACAAGCTTCTAGGTGAACATACTTAATTTGGTTTCAGAGTTGCCTGTTTTGATTTAACTAGAATATATTCTACATGGATCTAGGCTTGTGTGAATTTATAGTGTAGTCTGGAAATAGCAGTAGAAGTCTTTGGAGATTCAGCCAAAAAGATGGAGTAAAAACACCTGGACAAGCAGAAGTCATGAAGTCTACAATAATATGGAATTTATAAAGAAAATAGTAGCTTCACAGATATTACTAGTTGTCATCTTACTAACACCACCTTTAATAAATCATCTTCATACATATAATTTCAAAACAAGAATGTACATCTACTCTTTTAGTCTGAGGCCAAATCCCAACGCATCTGAAGCTTTTGCTAATAATAACATAGCCTTGTGCATGTTTCAGAATTTGGTCCCAGAAAATATCTCAGAAAGAACTTAGGAAAGAACTAAGAGAATCAGTGATTAAATGGAATGAGACACCCAACTACTGAACTTTTCTATTTGCATTTCTCACAGAGCTTCCTGCAAGACTATCTTCAACTAGAATATATGGAATTACTTACTGTGCAAAGTGTCTCAAATGTCTTTTCGGAGACAAAGGATCCATCAAGACCAAAAAGAAAAATAGATGCATAAGAAAGCATCCCTCCAAGGATAATAAGGTTGTTCATGTAGGGACTGGACATCTTTATTAGTCTATGGACAAAAGGTGATAGTGCATTAAAGAGGAAAAGATTACTGCTAGGCTATTAGAGCAATAAAGAAGAGCTTTTTGTAACCAGGCAAACAGATCACCCTTCTTGTAGAACTCCAAGAAACCTATAGGCATGCACACTATTTGCTGTTTTATAAAGTCTAGCATTGCTTCATGTTTTTGAATGTTTAGTAAAAAGATCTCCTATTTTACTGATAAATTAATTAGCTAGGGTTAACGTTAATAGCAGACTGTCAAATATAAATAAAAAAATTACACTTTCCAGACAGTATAAAAGAACTTGTCTTAACAGATAGACAATCTGTTTCAGTGTGAATATATTACACAGTGATTTCAATTAAATAGTTCTAAAATATCATCTTTCAACAGTTTTAACATTTTCCTTATATATATGTATATGACAGACTCCACAAACATAGCATTTAAACATGAAAGAAGTAGTGACAGAAGTAACATGAGTGTCTTACTTCTGATTTCTGTTTTTGATGTTAAAGAACAAGAAAGCACTGGCCATTATCATTCCTAGGATGGTGAGGGCAGAGAGGATACTGTAGAGAGGCAGGGAGATTTTGCGTAGCTCCTCTTGTATAATTGTTTTGTCCTTTGGAGGCTCGAGTCCTAGAATTACGAGAAGAAAAAAAAAGCTAAATCTCAACCAGTTGTAGAATTTCTGTAAGAAAATTTGCCTCTCCTGAGTACTATACCTTGATTTAGCAGATTTAGCAATAGTGAACCACATCAGTAGCTGATTAAATAATTGACTTTGACTGACATATGTTAGTCACATTGATTGACAAGAAGATTTGTAATTCTGGAGCAGGTAAATATCCTCTTTGGAAGAAAAAACACTCTAAAACTCTAATGCAGAACCCCTTAAATACATGCTAACTATTCTCATCTTAAAGTGCAAAGAAACACTAAAATGCATACTATGACTGTAGATTTTACCAGGAGGTTACACTTCCCTGAAACAAATGACAGAGCAATGAATAGAAAACAGAGAGCATCGTTTCTTTGCATAGTGTCATTAATACCAGGGCAAATTCAAACAGCCTGTCTAAATACCTACCATAGCTGGAGACCAGCCTTGATGTGGCATCACTGGGGTAGGGACTGATGGCTCTGGGGGACTGAAATGGGGTCCTGGGCTGTGGGCAGTGTGAGGGAAGCCTTGGAGGGGGGAGGCAGAGCTGTTGGTGCCCTCAGGAGACTATAGAATGAAACAATATGGAAAAATGGATAGCAAAGGTTTTATAGGGACAGACCCACTTTGCAAATCCCTGCAGATGTGGACTTAAATGTCTGAACTTAAAAACTATGTTTAAAGCCATGTGCTTGACCTACAGTCAGCTCTCACTAATTAAGGGCTTCTCGATTTAATGAGAAGAACTACTTTCCGACTACTCAGTAAAGCTCTGCATCCCCTACTGCCCACACCCCGTTTTACCCGCTTACTAAATTTATCCTTGGTGCAGGAGATTGACAAAAGGCCTTTTTCATCACTGCCTTCCTTCAGAAAGGGATTTGTGTGCCCTATGGTGCCTGAGCCTGTCCTTTCACATCAGCTCTCTGTGGGGCTGCGAGGACGACCATGTGGGTCCGAGCAGCTTCTTCTCACAAAAGGGCTGCACAGGCAGAGCTCTGTAGACCTGCTGGTCACAGAGCTGCGAGTTAATTGACTAGCAGCTGCTATAGCTAAATTTCACATCCACTCTTCTGCTTTGCATCTAGAATATCCAAGGATTTATACAATAAAATAACTTTATCCATACCAGTTAAGCTGAAACAATTCAGACTATGGAAATTTGCTATCCTTTGGTCTCTATGCCCAACATTTCTGCAAAAAAAATTCCTTTCACGTGATCACAGTAAAGCCTCAGTCAAGGGATCATTTGCTGATTTGATACTGGAGAAAAGTACCTGAGATTTTCCCCTTTTCCCTTTACCATCTCAGAGCATGCCTTTACAGTGCTTGATAGTTCACAAAATTAGGCAACAAGTAACAAGTCAAAAATACAATAAAGCACATGCCTGAATTCAAAGAACCAATAGTAAACAAAAACCCCCATGTTGCTCTAAAATACAAAGAGTATATTGATGATTTGTATTTATTAAAAATAAACAACCAGTGATTCTATAAAATGTATTTTCCTATTTGTGCAATGGTTATTCAATTCTATTGCTTCTAATATCATGAATTATTATTCTCTTGTGTGCAATTTTACGCAATGATTTAAACAGAACTATATTTACTACTCTTCATTTCAGATTCTTAAAGTTACTAATTTTTTTGTACTGCATGGAAGACGTAACAACAGTGTCCTTCACATTGAATATATGACTGCCTCAACAAAAAGCTAAGGTGAGTAAATGGAGAAGGTTCACTGTGGGTCACATAATGCATCTTAAGACAAATACAAGACAGGCTACAGGTGAAAGGAACGTCAGATGTGGTCAGAACAAAAACTAGGAGTCTGATCCTGAAAAAAAACTCAGAGAATTTCTCCCATTGTCTACTGCCCATAAAGGCATGGAGTTATGAACAAAACCTGTCTCCTGTTACTTTGTTCATCCTGCATGTGTTCTCTGGAAATTAATGGTATTGAATCAGTATTCCACTACATAATCAGTTCCTCCTTGCAGCAAAAATAATCTGCTGCATTCCAGACTTTGGCAACTGAAACAGATTCTGCACTCTTCATTTCCAAAGTCTCATTCTCCAGACAGATGTGAGCAGTGCACGTAGCTGTGCTCTTTTAAGTCCTGTGAAGGATACCAAAAGGAAAGGTGGAAAGCTGCAGCAGATGGATAAGCAGACATGGATTAGATCACTGCAGTGAAACTCCCGTCATGCTCATGCAAACCTTGGATGTTGGGACACTGGAGGCAGGTGTAGTAAAGCATGGGATACAGCAGCTTGATACTCATTCACCTCTCCTAGGGGAATCCACACAGATCTCATGAAGTTGACTTTGCTTCCCTTTACCGAATCGCACCATAGCAGAGTTTAAGATTAAATCTTAATTATTAGCTTTAAAAATAATGTATATGCCTATATTCAACAGGAGAAACCCTTAAAACTCATTTTAGCTGACATCTGGCTGCCATGATCACGTGCTCAGAAAGCTGTGGGTATGCCTGCACTCCAACTGCTGTGAGGGCAGAGGAAGTCCCCACGTTAATTTAGGAGCAGCACAGGATAAAAAATGGAAAGAAGATACAGCGACACAGGCTATCTGTCCGCTGTGGACCTCAGGAGTGCTGCTGGGCTGAACACCCTCTCTGGCCCTGTTTCTCATGGGCCAACTTAAAGCTAGCCTTGGTGTTTTGAAATTCTATTTTCTAACTGCCTAAGAGACACCTCCCAAAGAAAAACAACCACCTGCTTCTTGCGTGTGCAAACACAGCACACGAGAGCATTCCTCAGGTGAGATGAACTGGAGGAGCGGGAAACGGGGATGAAATTAGAACATTATTGATCAGTGGGGATGAAATAGAAGACATATCTGCAGCTTGTTTTGAAATATCAAAGAACATTTATGTACACATATAAATCTGAATTTGTCCTGGTCGCTAGAATGAAAAACAACTATATCATATTGAAACATTGGGATTTTCTATTCAGGATTCTCCTAATACTTTTTTTAAGCACAGCTCAGTTCGCTTTCTCTTTACATAGTGTCATAGCTTTTTGATACTAAAAATCTTAAACCAGTTCTTTAACAGTATGCAGTCTTACAAACTACATACAGCTATCCATGTCATTCTTGTACCTCTTTTCAGCTTTCTCTCCTACCTTGGAACCTGATGCTGTTGTTGATTATTTCCAGTGTGTCAGCCACAGCATTGTACTCTCCTACCTTCACTTCCTTTCTTTCTGCAGAGAAACAAACAAGAGTGATGGTTTATGGCAGTTCACATGTTCTCAATTATTTAACCGATTTTGCCTTCTTTTTTGACAGTACGTCAAAAGGAAAAGAAATGTGCCTGAAGTGCATGAATTATTAAAGCAGGATGCCAGACAGCTAACATCATTAAAATAAATATTTCTGATTCTTCAAAGAAACACAAAGTATTTTAAAGAACTCATTTACATAACCAGGGAATTGTTGTTATTGGGCACAGACATCTCCGGCTTAAAGATCACACACTTACTTACCGGCTCACTCCAAGCAGGACATTTTGCTGGGAGAACAGACACGGCTAAATCACACATTCCACTCTCATTTCAACAACAAGGACATCTTGCTTAGTCAAGTATTTCCCAGGGGAGTCATAGTGGCAGGCTCCAGCCCATATGGAGTAGACTGGCTAGTTAATAGATATGCTGGAAATCTAATCTCCTATTCTGCCTGGGAATTAGCAGTTCATTAGTACCCTGACTACAAAACATACTATGCTATATAATTAAAGCCAAAGTGCACTTGAGCTAAAATTTTACTTTTTCTCTCATCTGCTGTTTTGGGGCTATTGTCACATACCTGGCCTTCTAATGGAGTAGAGTAACGCGGATATAGGAACTTAAATTTGTTTGGCCACTGGAGCTTGAACTCTGGCACACGTTTGTCCCACTCTTTTGATAACACCTGGCATTGATTAATCTCTGCTATTTCTATTGGGTTTTTGGTATGGCTTAGAAGTGTAGGAACTTACTAAATTATCACTATTTTACACTAAAACTTTTACATTTTGATCGGAGACGTATAAACCACAGGCACATTGGGTAAAGTTGTCTTTGACGAGCTGGCTCAGCAGAGCCAAAAATTTCCTTTCAGGCCTCTATGTCTGGGCATGCACAACCCAATTTACATTTAAATTCTGAGCTCATGACCCTATTTGTGACACTGATTTTGGGAGCTGCTGATCTTGAACGAGATGGCAATTTTGAAAAGACTGTATTTCACCCAACAGCTCCACATTAACCTTTTCTCCTTTTTCACTCAAAGTGATTGTGCCTGTTCAGCTCTGTTGAATGGAGCAGCTAGCTCCATTTTAGTTAAATCTACAGGCTGATTAATACTAATTTGAGAGCTCACAGGAGGCGAAAGTTTTCCTTATATAAACAACAATTCTTATTGTTAAAATTGTTCATGCAGAATTGTAGACTGGGCTGCAAATCTGGCAGAGATACCTAGGCGTTTGATATACCCTCATCAAAAGCTGCAGTCTGCAGTTCTGAAAACTGATTTGCCTTCCACATGAGTATGATCCACTTGTGGGCCCTAAGACTAGCTTGGAATAAATACACGATCCCCTGGTCTTCAGCAGCGGTCTCACAAAAAACATCCATGCAGCATTACATGCTCTTAGGAGTAAATATAAGTTTATACTTTCTGTCACCGGCTGAAAATTCTCTGTGAAATAGATATATGCATAAATCTTTGACAGTCTTAACAATAAAATCTTCCTAGTAGTCATCTAAAAGCTAAAATGGTTACTGCTAAAACCAGAACCAATTCACTTCCATCTGTATTTGCACCATGACAGCTATTACCTGTAGATCTAAAACATCAAAACACAACCAAGATAGAAGAGAGGCAAACACCAGAATGCATACTGAGACATACAATTTGCCCATTAGATGGCAGATAGTCCACAGCATGTACTTATACCAAATGGGGAGGATGCACCTCAGTGTTGGTCTAGCCAGAACTTTACAGCAACAGGCTAAAACCTCATAGCTCTGATGAACAACGAAGAGAATTTGCTCCACACAAAGAGTAATTGCTCCACAAACGTTTCTATATGGAGCGCTTAGTGGGACTAAATTAGATGTGAGAAGCACATAACAGGTGGGAAAGCATACACAAAAGAGAGTGTAAATCTGTGGTCTAACTGATTGAGGTACTGCCACTGAGAAACTTCTGTGACTGCTTCATGTGACATACAATGCCATTCCTTTTCCACATTTATAAATTCTTACACGGCTTCTTTTACAGATAAATTAACGCTGAGAATGTGCCTATGATGGTAACCACAACGTAGTACAAGGTAGATGAGGCAGCCTGCAACTAGCTAGCATGGGTACCAGGAGCTAGCCCTTGTAGGATTGGAGCTTGGTAGAGCTATTCAGAGAAACAAACTTCCATGGCAGACTGAGCTGACGAGTGAGACTTTTCTGGACTTAGAAACCCAAGAGTGTGGGGAAAAAAGCATTTAGTACCTAGGAACCACATTATCAATGCCTCGTCCCTTACAAATGGGAAAAGACAGTTCATAGAGCACACGCCAAGGTTTACTGAAGTCAAGAAAAGCCAGAATGATATTTCAAAGTAGTTACAATTGTGGAAAGCAGTCTTTGAGGGACGTAAATCATCTTTTTACTAGGAGGAAGAATATATTATCTGTTTCATAGTATGATGACAGGGGTGCTGAGGGGGAGACACAAGCAGTCTTTGTGCTCTTTTGTACTCCCAGCAAGGAGTACAACTACAGCTGTTGGTTTTTCAGTTCCCCAAGCACAAGGGCTGATCAGTGACAAAGTCACCTCCAAATGTTAATGAAGGGAAACAAGGAGGTAGCACTATGGCTCTTTGCTTTCGTGCATAGACCAACATAGCTGAGGCTGGAACTGCAGCTAAAGGCTCTACTTTTCTATATGCTGTTCCCTCAAGTTCCCTTTGGAAATTCTGAATTATTCAAGTCAGTATACAGTCTGTATAATGGAGCTCCTATCTGTCAAAATCTCTGTGTGTTCAACAACGAAAGAACAGGAGGAAGTGGAACTCCTTCAAATAAACACACCAACAAAGTGGTTTGCACAGTAGTCAAAATATGATGTTGGCTTCTTTCTGTGGTGTTTTCATTATTTTCAACTTGATCTTTCCACACTCATGATAGAGAGATTGTATTGAAACCTCCCTGCCCAGGTTAAAATGCAGAAGGAAAATATGAGGGAAAATACACTTGTTCTGTGAGATGTTTGTCAATACCTTGACAAGAGCGGTGGGATTTTAGAACTTGAAACTGCAGCTGTTCTTTCACATAGGAACAGAAAAGTAAGAAAACTAACCAACCCAAAGAAAACCATCCCATAAATATGTGCCTGAAAATTATGCTTATCCAACAGAACTACAAACAACTAATCCTTGTGATTAACTAATTGTCACAGAATAGATTACTTATGTGGCCAAGATGAAAGCCTTCTGCCAACAAAGAACTGAACTACTCTTAAAGATGAATTAAAATGTTTTCTTCTACATGTTTTAATACAGAATTTTATAGCCCACTTTAAGAAACTGCAGACCAGTTGACACACTACCACTGAATAAATCTGGTCACATTTCACAAAGTTAATACAATAGATTCTAAATTGCACAGCAGGTAGTTACATGTTCTTGTCGAATAAAAGCAAACATAATCCTGCAACTGACATCAGCTGAGTAAAACAAGCTTACCAAAATGCACCACAGTATTATGATTGCCAGTACAACTGTTATCCACTTACACTGAGAATTTCCAGATGAGACTATGCTTAGTTTCAGTTCCTTTAACCATGTCATAATTTCCATTTCCACTACATTTTTGTAAGTGTACTTAATCACACCTTACGAAGATAATTTCTACTGAGAGATGTTTAGGATGACAGAAACCACTTGCAATGCGTTAAGAGACGGGACAGATGGATTTCCTTTGTTTTCCTCTATGTAGACAATGCTGGCTATCTCCTAATGATGCCAAAACTTTGTCTATATCTAAAGCTTGTAGCACCTTCAAGTATGTCAGTCTGACTGAAATGGTACAGATAACCCTAGTGGTGATGCAGTTAAGTCAATATAAAAATGTTTACACTAGAATAATCACCAGTATAATTCATACTTATAATAGCAAAGGCACTCTGAAATAACACAGTATTGTCCTGGCCACGCTCCCCCCTCAGCCTCCCGTGCACCTGCACACTGGTAAAACATGAGAAGCTGAAAAGTCCTTGAGGTCTCAGTGCCAACTATAAATATCAGTGCGCTGTCAGCATTCTTTTCATAATGAGTCCCAGGCTAAAACCAAAACACAGAGCTCTTCTAGCTGCTAAAAAGAAGAACTAACTGTCCCAGCTGAAACCAGGACACCTACAAAGTTACACAAAGATGTATATTGATAAGTGAATGCATTCATGAACTCCTACGTGTCTAGTTGGTTATACTGATGTAAAAAAAGTTTTCTAGGCCACCAGAACAAAGATGAATTAACAGGTCTGCCCTAACACTACTGTGATATCCAAACCACATGGTTGTAAATTAAGATTAAGGACCTCAAACCTCTAAATGGCTTACTGTAATGGCTGCTTGACACTATTAATACTTTGTTAAGTCACTGTAGCTTTTTTATAAAGTTAGAATTCCATGCAAACTACAAAGACAAACGTGCAAGTGATGAGGATTCACTTTCCAACAAATATAAAGTAAATTTTGAAGTAAATTTAAAAAACTTGCTATGGACCATTCTTCAGATAAACTAAGAGTTACTGAGGTTTCTCATCTAAAGGACAGTCACGCTATTCTCAACTTAGAAGCAGCAAAAAAAGACATAACCTATAGCTGAAAGCATACACAATATTTAGGTCTTAGTTTGTCCTGAAAAAATGTCACTGCACAGGGTGCCGCCTCCATGTCTCCTTCTCCTTGAAAAGTTTTCCAAAATTTCTTTGTATAGCTCCTCCTGCTTCTCCACTCAAGAAATTACCACTCTACTCCCCGAAAACTTTCCTCTGACATTAGTTTAACAATCCCTTCTCCCACTCTTTGTCAGCTGCCCCTCTTGCTTAACTGTCATAATTCAGTGGAAGTGATTAGATGCTTTGCACATTAGAAAATCTTGCTGCATATTCAGCACTTAGCAGCTCTCTCAGGATCCAATATTATTAAACCTTGTCCTACAACAGAAACATTTAGCTCTTGCACATTTTGCAAGAAATTTTTTGCTAGGAAAGCTGGAGAGGGACTTTTTACAAGGGTGTGTAGTGATAGGACAAGGGGTAACGGCTTTGAACTGAAAAAGAGTAGATTTAAATAGAAGAAAGAAATTCTTCACTGAGGGTGTTGAGGCACTGGAACAGGTTGCCCAGAGAAGTTGTGGATGCCCCATCCCTGGAAGTGTTCAAGGCCAGGTTGGTTGAGGTTTTGGGCAACCTGATCTAGTGGAAGGTGTCCCTGCCCATGGCAGGGGGGTTGGAACTAGATGATCTTTAAGGTCCCTTCCAACCCAAATCATTCTATGATTCTATGATTTTTCCTCATCCATGCATCACAGCTCAACAGGACTGCTGGTGGCTATGGGAAATATTTAGTCATCAGATCTCAGAAGAATTTTGGAAAATGCCCAAGTGGCCGACAACAGGTGAAACTGAGTATGGACCATACACACCTGAAATGCTTAAAGATCCTTAGGAAGAGAATGGCACTTAAATTTGGAAAGATTTAATTTCAAATTTTAAATCAATCCCCTAGATATGAATCAAAAATCATGCCACCGCACAAGTACTCCACTTTCAAAGACATATCTAACCTATCTGAAAGTTCACCATTCACAAGCTATTGATAACTCGTTGACAGGTTCAGTCCAGAGCCAGGGCAAAAGGTGCATGGACACATTAAATTATGTGCCCTGAGGCTTGCCTTTTTCCAATTTGGCTTCTGGTCACATTCCCTTTTAAAGAGTGAATGTTTTTCTTTAAACAGTCAGTCACCTAGAAATCATTTCTCACTGACGGGTCTTAGATCTTCTTTCTCATTCCCTCTACTGCCTACTGTGAAGGCTCCTGAAGAGCTAATGTGCCACACTGAGCGACAGCAACCCTGTGACCAAAGATATTCAGAGAACAAGTCCCAGGAAAGAAGATGGGCCAAACACAAGCAGTAAAAAACCTAAGCTGAAGACTGCAAAATGATGGCAAGTCTGAGAACATTTCCCATATGTCAGTAAGTCTTGTGCAAACTGCCTGCAAAGTCTCTTCTAACCTATCTCACCTTTGTCTCACTCATTTTGAAAGCTGCTTCACAAAATAACCAAAGCTGTAAATGCCGTTCTAAATGCCCTTACATTACTGAATTAAACCAAGCGTCATGGAAGTTAATTTCCTGCAGAACAAATACAGAAACATTTCATGTTGTGGATCCTGTAGAAACTCTTAGCAAATTAATGTTATCTTAGCTTTCATAATATATCCTTGTCAAACAAGACTGGGAAGCTTTTCAGTTATCCTTATCACGTATCAGCAATAACCAATAGACGCTGAAAGTTTCCAATTAAAAAAAAACAAAACAAAACACAAGAGAAGCTTATAAATAATGAATGAGCAAAGTCTTTTTCATGAATTTCTATCCACTTGTAGGCAACCATTTATTTGTTTAAAGACAGAAATGCTGAGATTAAGAATCACAGTTCAAATAAGGAAGAAAATGTCAGGTCAGATAGAAGATTATTCTTTAGCAGAAGCTGCCAGAAAAGAAAGAATCCAGGAAGAAAAATATACTACCTTTGCAAGGATTTGAATTACCACAGGTTTTACCCTTGTAATTAGAATTAAAATCTGCTTTGCCCAAAGAAATATTATCTTCATCTTTAACTCCTGCATAACTATTTCCTTCACTTGAAGTTCTTGTCTGGTGTTTTATTTCATAAATCCTGGATTCCAGTGCACACAATATACAGGAAATCCTGAGTTATGAAAGCTATATATATAGCAAGTGATAATTACTCTTCATAGCCAGTTCTCAAGTCCTATCTTTCATTCATTCATAAAGCAAAACAGACAGAAAGGTTAAACCAGTCAAAGGCCAAACAGCGTATGTCAGCCTTAGAATCTGGATAGAAGCTAAGAAGTCTTAACCCTGGGCTTATTTCACTACGTTAGTAATGGTATTTAAGCAACAAGGCACAGCAAACAAGTAAGCAAGCAGCACATAAAATGTTATTAAGTATCCCAAACCCATAAAAAATCTAGTTGTTTTACTGCCCAAGAAGATTTTTCCATAAAAAGTTCAAGCATCTGCATTTTTAAAAGCTTATACAAATGAATTTTACCGATTCTTTTTAACCTTTGTTTTTACCTTCTGGATTTTACATGGATTTACATTTTACATTTAAAAAATCACCTTTTAATTTTACAAAAAATTACTATTTTGCTTGTTAGACTGGCTTTTAGCTCTGCATAGAAATTAAGTAGTAGAGGTCATGTGGATTTATTATCCTTAATATCTTAGGTATTTGTATATGAGGTATCACAGAACTATACAATGAAATAAAAATTAATGACTTTTAGTTTCAAACAATTACTTAAAATCTGAATTAACACCATCATTATACCTTTCAGTCAGGAAACTGAGAAAGTTGTAAACAAATATACAATAATTAAGGTACATTATCTATGAAGTATAGTGACTGGTGTGGTGAAGCAAGTGTACAGAGCTTATATTAAGTCTTCTAAAAAGAAATTATTTAGGATGCTTAATAAATAGCTTGATAGTTTTAAATGAGGTTATATACGAGATCACACTTTTTTTTTTTGTTTTAATACTTCTAGCATGAAATCTTAAATGAGAATCATAATCAAACTGTATAACCACTGAAACATATGTCAGTAAGTCTAATTACCTTTAATTCCATTAAGGAAGTTAATAAATACGAACAAATATTCAAATAGGTATGGTATGATTATATTTTAGGATACACACGTGCAATAACTGAAACATCTCAATCCAGCTAAGGGTTTCCCTTTTCTACTGTTTGTCATCTTTTATGATTTGATTAACTTTTCAGAGAACAAAAATTCTCATCATTCTGAGAGTTTATTTGTCAAAGTAAATTATTCTTTGAAGTCAAACCGTACCTCAGAGTGTAAATAAACATGCTTTTTAATATTTTTAATATTAATATTTATCTAAATGTAACATGGTCTACAAACAAAAAGTGACAGTTATTTCAGTTATCATTTGGAATCACATCTTCCTAGCAGAGTCCAAAACCAATATGCTTTTCTTGACTCAGCATTTACAATGGGAAATGGCATTGACTGTGTAAAACTTCAGACAGTCACCAGGAGAAGGAATTTTCTCAATTATTAAATAACAACACAACTTTACTGATTGTTGTGTGCCTTTAAGTACCTTTACTCTCACATACTAGTCCATTTTCTACAGCAGCTGTGCTAGGAAATCAACCTGTGCAGACACACAGGCTTGGGCTGGCTTCCCAGGAGACCTCCCAGGAGCTTCCCAGGTTTGAAGGGCCATCCAGGCAGTGACAGGTTTGTAGATGGATGCCACTGATCTGCAGAGAAGTCCCCCATGGCCGCAGTCCAGGGCCCAGCAGCAGCTCCGTCTGTCAGAGTCTCTCTGGGAGAGGGACAACTGAAGCCAGGACTGTGCAGGAGGTGGAGGTGCCAGTGAGAGAGGCTGTGGTCATGTTTTATTGTCTCTTGAGCTTGATTTCAGAGTGCTGAAACGTCAGAGACCATGAGGCACAATTCAAGATATACCAAGTCACTACTAATTCAAAGATAAGGGACAGCAAACCATAGGATGTCAGTGTGTCCATTTTGACAATCTATGAGTCTTCCAAGGAAACCCAAGACAACAGAGCAGCAGATCAGATCTCTTACACAAGGGGAATAAATGCAACTGTTATCTCTCTGGTGCCCTGGAAACTGAGTCTGAGCTGGCAGTGTGTACTATCAAGAGAGTCTGGCAAAAGAAAGATTTGAGTCATTATCAAATTACCAGAGAACTTTTTTTTTTTTAGTTAACCCAAAAGTTACTCATGAACTTCAGTAAAATTCACCAAGCAATGTCATTTAGGGAAGAAATGACTGGGAATAGTACTGCTGTCAGTCTTTTCTGACTCATCAGGTTAAAGTTCATCTGTAGCTGAAAAACGAGACACTCACGCCAGTAGCCTAATCCCGGCTTCCATCTGCTGGCTCAGCATTTAAGCTTTCCATACAAACCTGAGAGAAGATGTGACAGGCCACCACCAGGGGATGTCCTGACAGGAAAGACAGCCCGGGAGACCTGCATGATCCTGACTCCAGCCCAGCTGCACACTCTAGTTGAAGCAGACAGAAGATCAGGGTGATCTTCTCCTCCTCTGGTAATATTCTAGCATTTAAGATGACTTTTCTCATCGATGCCTGAAAAAAATGTTTCACTGCACTTACCTAAACCCATTACTTATCTAACTGAAATTCTAAATTCAATTCAATGTGGAGTATCGCTTATTTTTTTGCAGTTGAGAAGACAAATAAAAAAACCAAACAAACCCAAACCAGTTACTCAGAACACCTTGGAAGGTTACCTCTTTCCCCAGAGAGGCTCTTCTTGTCAGCGTGGTGACGCGCAGCGCGGCCATTGACAGCAGCCCCGCTCTGCGGTCAGCTTCAGCTGACCTGAGCAGTGCCGCCAAGTCTCCACCGCTGCGTTTTCGGGGGCTGCTCCGACACACAGAACAGGCTGCACGACACAGTCCCTCCTTCTGAGGGTTGGGTGGCCCTTCCTGATTTATACCATCACCAAACTTAACCGCATAACGTGACGGAAATGAAAATACCATGCCCGAGATGGGAGGAGAGCCACAGCTGTTGTGCGTATTACGAGTGTTGGAGCTGAACTGTTTGCCATGTCCTTGAACAGCCGCTCTCGCCGTCACACCGGGCGGCCTGTGGAAACAATGCAGCACGTAAAGCGCTTCAAATATCTTCTTCATGGTTCAGGGTCAAACGCAAAGGCAGAATTCCCACTGCCCTCATCCTAAGATACAAAATAAGGTATCTGAGGCTACGTTGAACACGTTTATACAAAGCTGCAAACTCTATGCTCTTTTCTGTCTTGTAATTTGTACAGTAACTGCCAGTTTTGACTCACATAGGCTGGTTTATTCCAGTTATATTCAGGAAGAGTAGGGGAAGCATTCCAGAAGAAAAACTAGCACAACAAAGAGCCCACTTGTGTAACAACCTGCATCTACAAGTGATCCCTCGATGAGATATAGGGGAGACTATAAAGGCACCTAAGTAGTGTTACCCCCCTAGATCACTCCTCCAGCTTCCACTGTTGAGATGAACAAAAGAGCTGTCATTCAAAGAGCCATCAAAAGCCACAGACATTGAGCCTCTTCAAGCTCTAGCCCTCCCAACAATCAGCTACCCATGCAGTAGCCTGGCTCTGGGCTTAGAGCCACGTGGGATCACAGATTGTATTTCCCTGTCCTCAGGGAGGTTCACTCCCCATCAAGGCTGGGCTTGTGTGATGGGTTGATGTAAAGGGGTTCTGGTGGCAGGAGAGGGGTTTTGCTCCCTGTGACTTCCCTGATTTCGAAACAGGGTCCGACCTGTCTCTGGCCACCAGATCAGACTCCCATCCCCTCAGGCCAGGGTTGAGCCAATCAGCATCTCTGCAAATTGACCTATTTAAGTTGGGACAAAGGAACCGGAAAAGGTGCTTTGCCCAGGAGCAGGAGAGGGAAGGAGGGCACTGCCTTCGCTCCCTGGCTCCCGGCCAGGTGGCTGCAAGTGCCAGGCCAGCGCCACCCACTGAGGATGGCCGCGGCGGAGCCGCCTGGGGAACTCGGAGAGCGACCTGCTCCCAGGGTGCCTGCTGGGCTGAGTTCACCCAGAGAGGACTAAGATCTGAGAGAAACAGCCACACAGACACCAGGTCAGTGAAGATGGAATAGGATGAGGCGTGCGTTCCCCCGGCAACCGGGGGCGAGACGGCAGGCAGCTCCCCTGCAGCCAGGACGGACTTGGTGGAGCAGAGACCCACTTGCAGCCTGTGGAGAAGCCCACGTTAAAGAAGAGATGCCTAAGCCTGAAAGAGGTCGTGGAGCATGGCACGCATGACAAGGTAGAGACGCATCTAAAGTCCGTGGGACGATCCACGCCGGAGCGGGTGGCAATTCCCTACGAATCCGTGACTGTGGTAAAAGCCCGCACTGGAGCAATCCAATGGGGAAGGATTGCATCCTGTGGGTAGGACTCACGCTGGAGAAGTCTATAGATTGCCTCGTGAGTAGGGGATCCACTGGAGCAAGGGAAAATGGTGTAAGCACTCCTCCTCCTTTAAGAAAAGGAGCGGCAGTAACAACATGGATGAACTGACCTGCACTCCCCCATTCCCTGTCCGCCTGCACTGCTGGGGAAGGAGGTAGAGCCAGGAAGAAAAGGAAAAGGGGGAGGAAGGTTTTGTTTTTAAGATCTGGCTTTTGTTTCTCTTTATCCTCTCAAGTAACTGTTAACGTTTCTTTTTATTATTTCAAGTGACAATGTTCCTCTTTATCCTTTCAAGTAACTGTTAATAAATTGAATTGCTTTATTCCCAAACCGAGTCTGTTTTGCTTGGGACCATAGTTGGTGAGTGCTCCCTCTCTGTTCTTGTCTTGACCCTCAGTCCTTTTATTATATTTTTCTCCTCTCCACTTCACTGGGGGGAGGAGTGAGAGAGCGGCTGTGTGGAGTTAAGTTGCTGGATCCGCCTAAACCACGACAGCTTGTCACTGCAACATTTAGGGATGGGACACCAGGGAGTGAGAAAACAAGAAATGTTACACAACTTTAGGACGCCCATCTAACTCAAGAATATCAGGATTCATAGGGTGAGAAAAGTGTGTTTGGGAGAGCTGCTTTGAGTGTTTTTGCAAGCAGAAGAGGCTGCTGGGAAGTTCCTCGTCAAAGTCTGTTTCTTTCCTTGAAGGTCATTTTGACCTTCAAGAGGCTACCTGAGAAGTTTGGAAAGTTTGGGGTGCCCACCACGAGGACAGGTGCTGTGAGACCATAAGCACGTGTGTGAGGAACCTAAAGCCTGGGGCTCTGGCCAAGGGGTGCAGGTGGTGAGGTGGTGCAGCCCCACGCCCTACGGCAGCAGAAGGTATGAAATCTCTATGCGAAATATCAGAAGCTAGAAAAAATCACCATGCCTTACTCAGTTCTCACAGGCTCTAAGTGATAGATCCAGGAGAGGGATCTCCTCACGTGAGACTGCTGATCTATAAAAGAAGTGGTGGGTTTTCAAAAACCAGTGTTGGAAATGTTCTGTGTACCAGTCCAGCCCAATAGGCCCTTACAGTGATACTTCTCACTTTATGAATTTCCATTTGACACTCTTAATTTTTGATGTAAGTCTATGTGAATTGTATGTCAGGATGAGGCTAAAACAGTTTTGAAATGTAAGATGATAGGAACAGTCAAATTGGAATTTAACCCACCCTGATACACATTTTTCATGTTGGTAGAACTGTTTGATTTTCTTCAGTTCCTACGAGCACATTTTAGGAGAATGCATTCTAGTCTTGAATTCCAAAATTTATCACCACTTTTATCATAATTACTTTATTTTTCCTTTAAACTCTAATGGTGTTAAAACTCACAGGAAAAAACTCAATAATATTTGCAAAAGAAAGATCATTCAGGAAACTATTTTGGTTTGGTTAGATTGTGTTTTTTTTAACCTGTGAGCTGGTCTTGTATTCAAGAGGAAAGAAACATACTCCAACTGGAACTTGTTAAAAGTCAAAGTTCCAGAGAAATAACTCCATTTTCCTGCCACTTCAGTGACCCTCTACTTGCTTTAACCTGTTTTGAGTAATCTCTTTGTACTATTAATCCACTGGAAAAAACAGAAAAGAGGAAAAAGAGCCAACAGTAATCTCAATACTAATTAGGTACAACATGTATTTTACTAAGAGCAAAGAAGGTGGTGTAGAAGACTGATTAAGATACAAAGAAGAGTTTTGAAGTGGTAGTCCCTGATTTTATCTTTAATGATTGCTTTAAAATTTTCCTAAAATATATTATATATCATTGTGACAGTTAATTTTTTTTTGTTTTGTTTTGTTTCTTCATCTGGAGTTTGAATAGCTACAGAAAACAGGTCTGTATTAAGAGAAAAAAAACTCCAATGGAAAGCTACAGCTATTAAATTATAATTACTCTAAATAATAAAGTATTTAATAATTAATATAGAGCAGTTATATAATACACCTGACAGACAGCTCTGGAATAAAGTTGCCTGGCAAAGCACAGGCAGAGCACACAAGCTTTTATGCATAAGCAAAGCTTTGTTTTTGTGCATAACATTAAATACGCTCATCTAAGAGTTTCCAGAATCAAACCTGATATTTTAGATACTGAGAAAAAACAGTTTCACAAAACACTCATAGTTTGAAAGAATGTATTCTGCTCAGTAAAATGATAGCATACAGCAATGACGATTCTATTTTGAACATTAACTTGTTACAAGTGGACAGGATTTATGCCTGTAGGAATGAAATATAATATAAAGCAAAAATCCTTGAAAAGCTGATTAAAACTAGAAAAGCAGAAGTATGCATTTTTTCTCATGTATCACTGTGTTGCAGTATGACAGTGAAGAATAGCAGAGACTTTACAATTGGCTGGGCATAAAAGACTAGATTAAATAACCTCTATAGATGCATAAAACTCTGGAAAACCACTGCACAAAACTAATGTTATCAGTTTTTCTTTACAACTGGAATCAGAACTTGAAAAATTCTAGTGTTTCAAACGTGAGGGATATTTGTCTTCCTGTTCTAGTATAATGTTTTACCTTTTGCCTGAGATAGTGTTAAAGTTGTAGATGCACAATAAATAAAGCAAGATGAGGTTTGTTTGAAGTATGAGAGCAAGAGGAACTCTGGAAGCAGAAAATGCCAAAAACAGTTTCAAGAAAAAAAATGTTTCGAAAAACTTTCCCTTGAAACTGTTAGCAAAATATTACTATAAGCTGTCTACAAAAGTCAATTGTCCCACAAGCTTTAATTGTGACAATTTTGAAAGTCAAAACCACAGTGATTAAACTGTGAGTAGGGGATTTAAATTTTACTTGTAGTAAGTGAGTACATATTTCAGTGCATATGTATCCAAGCAATTGCTACCAATCCCTCACTAGTTACAGCATTCAATGGAAATTTAAATCATAGAACATTTCAGGGAGAAAAAAAGATTGAAAGGAGCAGAGTCATAATCTATGTCACATGTTTTATATAGTTAGCGGAATTACAAAAAGCAAGTAGTTTATCTATTTGACCATAAATCTTTAATCCCCTCCCCAATTTAAAGAACCTCAGTACAAAACTATTAGAGAAAGACAACCTAAACTTAGGTACAGTTTTTGTCTCTTCACCTTCTTGTACAGAATTACTTCTGCAATAGCCTTTACAGATTAGTGGGACCAGCAATGCCAGTCAAATGCTCTAATTAATTGCTTTTCAGTGTAAGATGTAAAAATGTTGTCTTGCCTTCCTGTGTTTTGGGTAGGTACAGAAAAATCTAGCACAAATCTCTTGTTTCTAGATTTAAATAACTTTGATTTAAGCAGAAACAATGGGATGTAAGACAATAAAGGTGAAAATTCATGAGCATGTAGCAGCCAGAAATGTGAAACATAACCTAGAGAAGGAGTCATGCTTCTTCTGTGAGATCAGCGCCTGGATCCTCACTTACATCTTTGGAAACCTGGAGCCCCCCAAATTTCAGCTACAGTCTTTTCCTTATTCCTGATGCCCTCCTCACCTCAACAATGTTACCGTCTCAGCATCTAGCACCTCCTGACTTTCTCAGAGGAATGGAGATGTCCCGGAAAGAGAAGGGACAACAAAAGGGCCAGGATTTATGGCACGTGTTGCACGCCACAACACATGCTAAGCAGGGTTTGCCTGTGCGAAAAGCCCACCCTGCTTAAATCACTTTT